ACTCTTCGCCGACACAAGGGGCACGGTGCGGCGGGTCATCGAGCAGCCGGTGAGCAAGGCCCCGCGGCTGGGGACTGAATTCCAAGCGAGGCTCTGGGGGCAGGGGCCGTCCTCATGCTGTTTGTACAGCGCCTGGGGGTCCCTGGCTGCCCTACGCTGGGGTGAGGTTCCGGTTGGAAGCAAAGGCCTGCCAGAGGGGGCCGTGCAGGCCAAGACGAGAACAGCTCAGAGAAGAGCTAGAGAAGCTTACGGAGGACGGGCCCATCAGCGGCTCTTAGCCACGCTGGGCCGCGACGGGGTCCCTACCTCTGGCAGGGGCTGGGAACCAGTGACAGGGCAGGGTTCACTGGGTGGTTCCCTGTTCTGTTCCCTCCCTCTGGGGCCCGGCCCCGGCCGCTGTCGGCCGACAGGACCCTGGGCCAGATGGCCCTTTGCTCTGGTTCTTCCTGGATGACTGGCAGCTGGGTTAGCACTGGGTGGATCAGCTGTTCTGGAGTCCGACCTAGAGGATCACAGAAAGGGCCCTGCGGTCAGCCCGGCCCACCCAGAGCAGCCGTGACGGGTTTTCCCAGCCTGCGGATGGACGCGCGGGAGCCTGCCTGGTCTGCAGCTGAGCTCCCCAGGGAGTTGAAAAGTTTGTCCTCCAATTTCACCTGGCTCTTGCAGCTTGTTCCCCTGGCCCACGGGGCAGTCGATTGGGGGTGGCACAGTGCAGTGCAATCCCCGATGTACCCCTACGCCCGGGCTTATTATTGGGTTAACCCAGCCACCCCCCCCCCCCCCCCCGGCCGCCGCCTCTATATCGCCTGCAGCAAGGTGGGGAGGCGGGAGCTGGGACACGTGGGAAGCCAGCTCCCCCTGCAAGCCGCTTCCACCCCCTTGCTGCCTCTCTCGGGGTGGCAGGGGGCTCCCTGGGCACACTGACTCCCGGCCTCGCCACCGGGGACTCTCAAATAGTCGTGTACCCGCTAATACTTGATACTGACATTCTTGACCCTCCTTATCCATCCTTTGTTCCAAGGGTGCCAGGCCCATCCATCACCAAGCTGGTGGTGGTGGCTGTTCCCAGGAGGGGGAGTGGGCTGTTCCCAGGAGGGGGAGTGGGGCTCAAACCCTCAACCTCTGGCTCTGGGTACCTTATCCACTGGAGGAGCCCCCCAACCTCCCTACATTCTTGGCCCCCCTTATCCGTCCTGTGTCCCAAGGGTGCCAGGTCCATCCGTCACCAAGCTGGTGGTGGCTGTTCCCAGGGGAAGGAGGGGGGGGATCGAACCCTCAGCCTCTGACTCCGGAGGCCGGTACCTTACCCATCACTACCCAGCATCCCGACGGCTGCCTCCCGGAGTCTCTGGACCGGCGCTGAGCGTGTCTAACGGCTGCTCTCAGGGCTGAACCTTTCCTCCCCTAACCCTCGGATTGGTTTTGTTGGCCTCTGGACTCGCTCGTTTCTCCACAACTCCCGGCAGCCTGGGTCCCTCCCGCCATGCTCCTGTCAAGGGAGATCAGCCTCGCTCGTCCCTGCCTCGCCTTCTCGGCCCGCCCGCGACGTGCGACCCGCCCTGCCTCCCGACCTCTGCACCTAGTTCCCGTGTGGGAGCTGTGCGCTCACGTTCCTCCTTCCTTGGTGCGGCGCGTCGGGCGTGTCCAATTTTCTTCTCGTCCAATTCAAGCCCTCTCCTCCGAAGTGCTCGCGGCCCCTCCCCGCGCGGTCGTCCCTCCCTGATTGGATAACCCCACCCTCCGCTCTGCTCCCGGGGCAGCGATGAACATAAGGACCAGTAGCAGCCCCAGGACCCGCTAGGCGCGTCCGCCCAGTTGGAGAGCCGTCCGGTGCTCACTGCACAGTAACCCTGTTGGGGCCGTGGTTCCGAGCACCCAGCCTCGGGTCTCTGGGCTGCGTACGGCCTCTGTCCACCCCCCTTGGCTTTTGCCCCTGCGGAGAGGGTGTTAACGCCGTATCACTGCGCCATCTGGAGGAGGGGTTGGCCCGTGGGCATGGCTGGGCCCCCTTGCAGCAGGGCGGGGAGGACCCTGGGGCGGGGGACTTAGGGGTACTCAGCTGGGTTCCCTTAGGGCTTGGCTGGGGCGTCATGCGCTGCTTGCTGGCTCCCCCCAACCCCCGGGTCCCTGGTGGCTCT